TAAAATATTATTTCTAGCCCCACCCCTACAATAAATTGTAAAATCACTTAAACTAATTTGATGATAGAGTCTAAACTTGCTCAGTGGAAATGGAAAAATGAGACAGATTCTTGAAACATTTGATAGGCATATTGGTACGCACTTGAGACTGGGTGAAAATGGGCAGGTAACTTGAAAAAGATGATGAAAATAATTCTGTATTTTAGTTTGTGGGGATTTTGTGACACTGATGTCCTTAACTAAGGAGGCTGCCAGAGGTTATCCTATACTAGAAGTTAGATACAGGATAGTTACATTGGCCAAAAAGGCCATGTTTTTTTCCCACAAAAGATACATTTCTAATTTTCATGAATAATTTCATTAATTTGGGTATTTTGAGTATGTTGGCTATCTACTGCATGGTATAACATTGACTGTTCTCAATTAATGTCTCAATTTCATTGCTATCAATTTCAACTGGTCTACACAACCATGGAGCATCATCCAGTGAGAACTTTCCAGAACAAAACTTCCCAAACTACTTTAGACAAATTTGAACAGTCACAGCATTTTCTCCTACATTGCACAATTTTTTTTGCATTTCAGTTGTTTTTTTTACCTTTCCTGAAATACTAAAGCAAAATATACCAAAATGATGCGTATTTTCTTCCATCTTCAATATTAAAATGGCTACACAAAATTTCAACAATTTTGGTAAGTTTTTTTAATGCATGCTGGTATGACAGCTGTCACAATACAATCTAACAAAATTGTTTTGAATGAAGTTAAGGACAACTAAGCACTATTGGAGCCATTTTACAAGAAAAAACCAAATGGACTTTTTGGCCAACCTCATATAATTAGTTCAGATTTGAATATGCTTAAATTGAGTAGTGTGCAGAATACTCAATTAAAGATAAGCATTTAGAGCTCTGGTTGGTGTAGCTCAGTGGATTGAGTGCCAGCCTACAAGCTGAAGAGTCACTGGTTTGATTCCCGGGCAGGGCATGTGTCTGTGTTTCAGGACAGATTTCCTGTTGGGGGGGTGTGAGGGGCAACCACACTTTGCTGCTCCTTCCTTTTCTCTCTCCTTTGCCCTTTTTCTAAAAATAAATAAATGAAATCTAAAAAAGATAAGCATTTTGAAACACTGGTCTAGAGCATAGAAGATATTTTAAATGGGCACTGTGAAGCTGGGGTCATTAGCAATAGGTCATAGCATTGAAAGGATGGGCAGTACAGAGGACCCAGGAGAGAAACTGTTAAGAAGTAACAGGTAAGAGGAAAACCAGAAGAAAATGGGGGCACTGAGGACAATGGGGTAAAGACCGTTTCCAGGAAGGACTAACCAACCACGGCAAAATCCAAGCCAGACAGGCACTGGCACTTCATTCGCAGTTTGGGAGGTGGGAGACCACCTCCAAAATAGGAATTTGCCTGCCCCTTCAGGGGTTTTCGATGAGACTGAAATAAGAAATGTAAAAATACCACACAAAGTAGGTTATCTAAAAATCAGGTGCACATAATTAAATTTCTCCCCCTTTGCATGTACATATGACTTACTTCCCTTAAATAACTGCTGAAAACACACTCTGTTCTTTTTTCTCCTTTTTGATCACCTTACTTTCCTTGATCTTGACTTTTCCAGGTACATCTTTCCAGGTGCAATCCATGACAAAGCTAGTTTCAGTGCAAGATGTTTGACTGTAAATAGTCTCTCCTACTTTTAAGGAGATGAGGGCTATAGGAAATGAAGCCACTGGCTTATGCTGTTTTCAAGGAACAGAAAGTCTTCTTTTTCATGCCAGGATATGGACACAGCATAGCAACAGAAATACCTGGGAGAGCCACAAAGCTGCTCCAATATTCCATAGTACATTAAAATGTACTATGAAGAGAGATCTCTAGCAATCATGGAAATGCTTGATATTTTCTGATAGATGGCATGAATTTGAAGGAGTTGCCAGGGTTTTAAATTTGAGGGGAGGATAGCTAGATACACAAAATACAACACTCACACCTGCCCTTCCCTGAGCTGAGCACTTACAATAAGTACAACTATTAAGGTATATTTATAGAGTATCTAAGACAAACCCAATACTGGGAAGGACTCAAACAATGTAAAATCAGGTATGTCAGAGTTCTAAAACAAAGAAATCTGCCTCTTTATGTAATCAAAGACCTACTTTCTGTCTCCTATATGAGGTCTGTCCAAAAAAAGTCCAGCCATTGTTAATACAACAATGGTTTAAGTGACATCAATGTAACCTGGCAGCCAAGCAGAGTGGACTGGAATGTGCATGAACAATGATGACTTCACTGTACTAGTCAGTGGGGGTGGTAGATGCCATTGAGTGACCATGCGCACTGTGTGGCCATCACATTCAAAACGACTGAGCAAGCAGAGCAATGAATCTGCATCAAATTTTGTGTTAAGCTTGAACATACCTCCACAGAAACCAAGGCTTTTAGGCATGAGGCAATGAGTGCAGAGCCAATAAAAGCGTGGCACAAATGTTTCAAAGATTGTTGAGAATCTGCTGAAAGTGATTCACATCTGGAAGACCTGCCACAAACAGAACACCTGAGAATGGTGAACATGTATGGGCTTCAATCAATGAAGACTGGCGACTACTGACAGTTCGAGAACTGGAACCTGATCTGGGATTACAAAAACTACTGCGTCTGAGATTTTGATACAGGGTCTTGGCATGAAACGTGTTGTGGCAAAATTTGTGCCATGGCTTCTGCTTCCAGAAGAAACATGGTGCTGCAGGTGCTCATGCCTGATGCAAACCACTACAAAGGAACCAGGTTTCTTCAAGGTCATAACGGGAGATGAATCATGGATCTACGACTATGATCTGGAAGCGAAGGCCCAGTCACCCCAATGGAAGTCACCTGGTTCTCTACACCTGAAGAAAGCATGGCAAAGTCCCAGCAAGACCAAGGCCCTTTTAATTGTGTTTTTTGATTGGGAAGGTGTTGCCTATCACAAGTACACCCCTCCAGGTCAAACGATTAATAAGGAGTCCTACCTTCATGTTCTTTGTCCATTAAGAGATGCAATATGATGAAAATGGGCACAGCTATGGGCAATTGGTGATTGGCAGCTTCATCACAACACGCCCACTCATGCATCATCTTTGCAGCTTTTTGGCAAAACTTCAAATCACCCAAGTGACTCAGCCCCCTACAGGCCAGATTTGATGCCCTGTGACTTCTGGCTTTTGCCCAAACTAAAATCACCTTGGAAAGAAAGGAGATTTCATACGGTCAATGACATTAAGAAAAATATGACAGGGGCAGCTGATGGTGGTTGGGAGCACTCTGTGAGGTACCACAACGCCTACTTTGAAGGGCATTGGTGTCATCGGGCTATGAACAATGTTTCTTGTATCTTCTTTAATGAATGTCTCTGTTTTTCATAGCACACAGGTTGATATGTTCTGGACAGACCTCATATATAAATGTAGCCTAGAGAGAGACCTGCTGGATCTGCAGAGTGGTAGAACACTTCGGAATATGAACCACTTACAAATTCCCAGCCACAAGGCTCACTAGCTTTAAGAGCAAGTCCATATAGCCCTGGCTGGGTAGCTCAGTTGGTTGGTGCATCTTCTCATACACCAAAAGGTTACAAGTTTGATTCCTGGTCAGGGCATATACCTAGGTTGTAGGTTCAATCCCCAGTAAGGGTATGTATGGGACGCAACTAATCAATGTCTCTTTCAAATCAATGTTCCTTTCTCCCTCACCTTCCTCCTTCTCTAAAATCCATAAACATATCCCTTAGATGAGAATTAAAAAAGAGCAAGCCCACAAGCCTATATACCTCCCCTACTCTGCCATTTAAAAATATTATAGTTGACATATGACATACGTATAGTCAGAATATAGTAATAACGTTCTATGGTGACAGATGGTTACTAAACCTATCGTGATCACTTTGTAGGGTATTTCGATGTCAAATTATGTTGTACACTTGAAACCAGTATTTCATGTCACCTTGTCATTTTCATAATCAACTTTGTCAGAGGAAAATGCTAATCTGCAAAAGTCACAATTTTCAATACTCAGACATAACAAGCAAAATTTAATAACAATTATGTAGCATCTGAAAAGAATGCCAATATGTAAGTGTGGCTAATGAACTTAAACATTGTAGCTAAAAGTAACCCAGTAGAGGGTGGAGACATGTGGTTTGCCAGTGATAGAATGAAAGGTCTTACTCTTCTGAATTTTGCTTTATTTTGGCCTTAGAAGAAACTAAATTAAAAACTAAAACACCCTCAGGGATCTGGATGACCTTTTATCTCCTCCAAGACTGAAGAAAACAAAAGCCTTGGATATCTTTCTCATTATACTTTTTTCTTTTACCATCTTTCTATAATTTTGTTCTTTTCTTTTGCTTTTTCTATCCTCTGTTACTTTTTTAAAAAATCTAACAAAGGATTCAAGTTATAATTTTGTTACAGCTATTTTTGTTACATACACACATTCTCAAACATGAATTTTGTGAAAATGGTGAGAAGACAGAAAATCCCACATAACTGAGTTTAAAAGTTGCTGCATTCATAGAGGCAGAAAGCAGGTGTTATTGGGGGCTGGGGAAGGGTTTATTAGGAGTGACTGTTTGATGGGTACAGAGTTTGGGATGAGCAGGTTCTTCAAATGGATAGTGTGACAATTACACATTGTGACTGTACCTGATGTCCCTTGAATTGTATACAAAGTTAAAAAATAAAAGGAAAAAAGCAGATGTAACACAGATTTCAGACATGACCAATTTATTCAGAAAATTCAAATTTGTCTGGCAAAGTATATCCAAGGGCAGAGTTTGAGATAACTGTTTCATTGGAGGCAATCACATTTTCTAGAGCTAATTGGCCAAGAGGTAGTATCCAAAGCAAAACTTTAAAAAGTAATTTAGTGTGTGTGTGGGGGGGTGATAACCATAAATATATGCAGAGAAAATAAAACAAGCAACCAGCTTACTCAACTGAACCAAGAGAGGCTAATGCTAGTGGAAACCCTTTATTCAACTTAGTTCAACAGACATTAAGCACCTAATTTGTTCAAAACATTGGGCTACCAGGGTGGAAGCAGAAACATAAAATTCACCAAGGTATATAATCCCTGTCCTTGAAAGTTTACAACAGCACATCTACAAATGAGTGTGATGCATGAGTGTGATACGTGAGGAACAACAAATCAAAAACAAAACAAACAAATGCTCTAAAAACAAGGAGGGGGAGAGTTCTACTTTCCAGTAGACACTGAAGTCTGAGGTTGAGACCCCCTGTCCCCTTCGATTTGGTGGTGTGGGTGAGGCAGGGCACAGCACGCCCAGTAAACTCGGGTGTCTAAGCAAGTCTTGGCAACAGGAAGTGGCCTGGTTCCTCTACAGCTTTAAATGTGTGAGGGGTAGGGGTGTTCAAAGATATTTTCACTTTAACCCTGTCATCATCAATAGCCCATTATATGAAAGAGACTGACAGAAAGTGAAGGTGATTAAAAACAAAGTCTGAATTGGCAGGAGCATGGACTGGAAACATCATGTCAATTCAACCCCTTGTGTATATGCATCTAGTAGCGCAAGTAACACATCGAACGGGGGAAGCCACCGGCAGCCCCACAGTTCATCACCCACAGTTCGTCACGGCAGGACGTGGTCTCTCCTGCTGGACTGTGAAGCTGACTTTAGCTACTGCCAGTGGTGGATGTAAGGGCGATGAATTTCAAGTGCATATTTTACACATAAATCAAATCCCATAAACATTCTGTCTAACTCAACATAAATGAAGAAGGCTTCAACTTAAGGAGAAAGATGAAGTCTTTGTGAGCTAACTGATCTAATGGTGACTTGGTAATCTATATTTTCTACTTAAAAAATACACAATCTTTCTTGAATAATAATTTACTATGTGTATAACATACACCTCAAAGAGAATTTTAATGAAACATTGTAACAGTCAAAGATCAGTTTCTGCTTTTGTAATTACACAAACTACCTTAATTACAATAGTTTGGGAATCGTTACAACAAACAATATATAACAAGATGTTTTAATATTATCCATCATCCTTAACTTTTGAAAGTTTGGCTTATATTATTTTATCTCAAAGGAAAACTTTATTTCATTTTCCCACAAAATTAATTCACTACCAGAGTTAAAAATTAAACAAAATAGAAAGCTTCCCTGTAAGCCTTTACCAATGACAAATTGCAATGAAAACATCTGCCAGGCTTTGAGGAAATAAAAACCAACAACTTATATAACCAGCACCTCAAAACACGAAAGTAAAACCTCCTTTTGAAGTATGAAGTTTAATTCTTCTTACCCACACAGTAACTGGTAATCAGAACCCACCCCCACCTAGAAACTGCTCTGGTTTGTTATGTAATTCACAACATACACTATTTTTGAACATTAATAAATTACTGATATGGCACAGTGAATAAATAGCTACTTGTTTTAATATCAAAGTGACTCAATACTAGAACATATAATAGCACACTAAAAGTGATTTAAAAGTAAAAACTTTAAAAATGTAATCTATTCTGATCTTATATTCATTGAAATTAAAAACCAAAGGATAAAGTATTATTTCAAACCTATATACCAAGATAGATGTGCTATAAAAATGTATTTTTGTTGTAAATGCTAGATTATGCAAAAATAATTTTATATCAGTTTTAACTTTAATGAATTTTTCCCAACTCTAATGTTAAAAACATTTTAAAAGAACTTAAATTTTAATGGTGAAAAGTTCCTATTTTCCCCATCTGTTAAAAAAAAGATTGTGTTTTCCCTTAACATACAATGCCCTATTGTTAAGGCACAACATTTTTTTAGGATAAAAATAAAACCATAGTTTAGGTTTATTTTATGCAAGTTACAAAATAGACTTTTGTAGGCATATACTGAAAATAATCAAAATGAAAAATCATTGTTCCTATCAGGGAGCAATCAGCACATAACTAAGTAATTGCAGTTAGAATAACCCAAATAGTTTCCATTTCTAACTTGCCACAGACTGTATCCATAAGGCCATTTTCAAGGTGTAATCTAGGACAGGCAAGCTGGGTGTTCTCTTTTCTGAGGAATGGGAGTGCACTCCTGCCTTCCTTTATGCTTGGGCTATCAGGGACAGTTGTCACCGTCAACACCTGAGTGAAAGCCAATACTTGAATTAAATATCTGAGACAAGGGCTTGAGACAAGGGCAAGGTTCCCGATCGCCAGGGTCAGGGCAGGTGCGTGCTTTGCCTCCTCCCTCTGCTACCCTTCCCCTTGGCTGTCTTTCCTCTTTCCCACCCTTTTCTTAGCCACTGACCCTTCCCCACTTCCTCTGCCCCAGTTTGCACAATACTGAGAGGGGGCACCCAGAAGAGTTTGCACAACTGTTACTTAAAACACATACACCAAAATGCTTATTTCATTATACAGCTCTAAACAATTCACTTGAATGTTAAATTTTTTAAAACACCTAAAATTGAGGAAAAGGGGACAACTGAATACCAAGGACAGACAGGACCTATCTTGTAGGTCCTTGTAATCTCAACTGAATTAAGGAAGGATTCAAGCATGAAAACTAAAAGAAAAAGCAAGTTTTCTCAAACAGGCTTATATACCCAACTCTCGTATTTTCTGCATTACCATTCTTTGAAGGATGGGTTGGAAGAATTGCTTTGTAAAGACAGAAGCATTGAATTAGATTTAACAGCACAAAGCTCTGTGGTTTTGAAGTGCTTACACTTTACTTTTTCCGGGAAGTCTGAAAACGGCCAGCTAGGATTCCACCAGGATTGATCACTGGGAACTACTGGAGCTTCAGTTCTACTCCAAGATTACAGCAGCCAATTTTAAGATAAATTATGTCTGTGAAAGAATTCCTGGATAAGGTTTGGGGAAGATTATATTGATTAAGAAAGAAGAGCAGAAATAAAATGAGAACATTAGGGGCTAGGGAGATAGGGAACGAGGTAGAAAGAGAGGGAGAAAAAGGGGATAGCTGACGGCTACTGAGGTTATGATGTTGCTGCTTTCACTAATGTGATGTGTAAAACTCAGTTTTAAGGGAAAATGACCCTCTAAGTAAGGACAAAGATGAGGGAAAGGGAAGACCAGGAGTTGGGGAGATAAGATTCACTAAAAGTAAACTCTAGTTATTTTGCTACATTTTAGAAATAATTTATGTAATCCTAGGAGGCAGTACGTGCCTCACTTATTCATAAAGGTGTTTGGCTATGTGCTGGTGAATAATGTCTTACATAAATAAATATAAATACTGTTCTTTGTAGTTATATTAGTTCTGTGATGTATACTGACTTTCAGAAACAAGTAAATTTAAAGACTTTCTATAAAAGCCCTTGAAAATCATTAGTAACTAGACTATTCCAAATTATAAAAATAAATTTAACTGACAGCCAATATTTTAATTTTTGCACACAATTTCTTCACAAAGTCATTATCTACATGCAATTAATAAAGTTAAAAATAAAACCAAAGCAATCATACTTACTAAAGTTTCCATATAATATTGGGGAGAAATCCCCAACTCCAATTGAAGAAATTCCATTTCCTACTATGCTAGTTCTGGTTCCCGAAGTTTGGCAAATTACACTGACAAAAATGCTCTCCTACTACAGAACTCTGGAAACACTCTGTGTGTTTTTTCTATGTCTCCTGAGGAAAAAAGGATTTTCTCATCTCATTGCAAAGTAAAAAGATGAAGTCTTTAATAATCTGTTCAAAATTCCTAAGTCCTGTTTAAATATCAAGTATTCCAACTACCAAAATTCTTGAGCGAATTGTCACTGAATAAAAAAGCCTATGTAGTGAGGCCTATCAGATTCATGGCCAGTCACTAGTGACTGGGTGGAAACCTGTGCATCATGCTAAATTCAATTTCCTAATGAGGAATTAAAGGGCTTTGGAGAATAGTGTTATATGCAAACCTAAAACCATATATGCACATTCCACCCGGTGAGGCTGGCTGTTCCTTCTTTGGTCAAATTTATCTCCAAGATAGGGAATAAATGGAAAATTGCTTTAGGGGTAAGGAAGGAAGGAAAAAAGGGAGGGAGGAAAGGAAACTGTGAGAAATCTCTCTCCTTATCAGTGTTACAAAATACAAGGACATCAAAGTCACATGAAATCATGGTACTGCTTGCATACATGAATTTTCAGATATCACAATGAAAGAAATCAGACATCCCAATGGTAGTCCACAAAGCAAGGTCCTAATTACAGTGACACGGTGAACAGGCCACAGCCGTTCTTCCAACCAGATCCTGCACACTGACTAGAAAAATGATGCTTCAAAAATTCATTTTAACTTGCATAATTTTAATCTGAAGGGCAATTATAAAATAGCTCAAAATTTACTACTTCGAGTTTGGTTAGGTTAGATCCATTTATTAATGATAACAGTAACCATAACTCATTCTTGATGATGAGAGAATTTTTATATACAGACTTGGCAAATTTTTTAAAAAGTACTTAAAGCTTTTGAAAATAATGAAATCTAGCCCAATTCATGTAGTGTCAAATAACTTTCAATTAATAATAGAATTCTTTATATTTTTGTAGTGCCTTATAGTATATTTTGTCCCTAATGAGAAAATGTACCAAAAATGCAATGCCAACCCTGAAATCTTAATCCAAAACTTATGAGTAAAAGGCTAAAATGTTGGTCAAGGGGGAAAGGATGGAATCATGCACTGTCTATAGGGCAAATGAAAACCAACAGCAAGATGTCAGAAAAGTTGAACCTATGGGTACAAACCTATTGTTCATTGGAGAAACACACACACACACATACAGAAATTACAACACAACTACCATACATCTATATTCTCTACTAGCTGGTGAACCTGCTATTAAAATTTCAAAGAAAAAACAATATAAGCCTTTTCTATTTTAATCCATAACAAATATTCAGGAATGGATAAATAGAGCATTTGTTGCATATTAACGAACATGTGGCTTCTTGTGCTTTCCATCTGAATTAGGGGTTAAAAACCCCAAATTACTTTATTTTCAATGAGATGTAAGTAATATTAAACATCTATATGAAATTAATCCTTTCTTCAGCCCAATTCTACATGAAAGTACTAACAATGAAGATTCATGATGTTGTGTGAACATGGTGACGCATAACAATGTGGACTCAGTTACAGATTTTAATTCACAAATATATATATATGTCTCGTGTGTGACAACTGTACGAAAATAGTCTCAAAAATAAAGACAATACTTGAGACACGAAGCAATCCATCTTCCCTGATCTTGCATCCTATTACAGGGAAAAGAAGTCTCCGATGCTTCATAAATACTTTAAAAAGTTTGGGATGGCCTTAACCATGCATAGTTTCCACTGATCCTCCGAAGCCTCCAGCGTGTTAGGCTGACCATGTCAGCTCTGGAAGAGCTGTGATCTACAATCAACATTGCTCATTAATGTCCTGTCTTCTCTAGATCTGGGAGTTTTCTGACTAGAGCTTGGTGGTTCATTCTGATGCTAGCCAGGAGCCCGCCTTCAATGCCGTCAGAACCGGTATAACTGATTTCTTCACCACTCAGGGTGGTCATGTGCCCCCCAAGGGCTTTTAAGATGGCATTGCCTGCACATATATCCCACTTTTTGATGTACGTCACATGAATATATAGATCAGCTTTTTCTTGACTCTTATCAGGCACATCTAAGAGCGCTAAAACTTTATAACCTAAAAGATAAACACAGGAATTAGGTCATTGTGGAGAAAATTTAAAGAAAATAGCTTAATTTTTTTAGTACATTGTTAAAAATAACAGCACATGGTATACAGGAACTCTTTGTACTATTTTTGCAAATGCTAAGTTTCAAATTATTTTAAACAGGTATTTTTTAAGTAATAGCCCAGAAATTAAACCCAAATGAAAAAATATATAGTGTAAAGCAAATGACTTTAGTTATTCTCTAGTATGACCAAATATGTCTACAATTTTTTAAATTTACATCCACATTGTGGCTGTATTCTATGAAATAATACATTCAGTACATATCATTTCCTATTGAATATTACACTGAAACTAAACACACACAGGTTTCATTTGAAAATGTGGTAAGGCTGGATTTGAAAGAAGAAAATAGAAGATAACACTACTATGTTATGCCCTCTTTGTAGTGAAATAGAATTTACAAATAAAATAATAAAATGACCATAGAAGAAGCTAGATCTAGAACCTAGTTTATCCCATTCCTACTGAGTATTTTGGTCATTATTGTTCTTTACCAACCTAGCAGACAGACTATTACAAAATGATAAAGTCATATTAAGAAAGGCAATTATATGTGATCACTAAAGTAAAACTATTATGCTAAAAGTTAATAAGCATATTTTCCCCTTATTACTGTGCTGAAAAGGCTTTGAAACACAAATGTTCCTGACCATTATTTGCTATTTATTTGCATTAAATCACTTTTATAATATTAAATTGTATTTAAAATAAGGGTGGGCAAAAAGCCCATGAGCCAAATCCACATTTATATAGACTTCAAGCTATAAATGATTTTTGTATTTTGAAAAAGTAGTTTAAAAAACAAAACCAAACAAAGACCTTATGTGGCTCACAAGGCCTAAAACGTATACTATCTAGCCTTTTCTGAAAGGCTAAGCCCAGCTAGCCCCTGACCTGTAACTTGGGCAATACAACACTACAGAATATACATTGGGCTAGCTGGCTGGGCACTTGACTCTCTGGCTCATCCCAGACATGCAAGCCGAGAAGTTCACAGGTGTCAAAAGTCCCCCAGAGATAAGCCATTGTAAGGACCCTTAGGATGGTTCCTGGCATCCTTCTGCCATATGAAGCGTCATGATGTACTTGGAGCTTTCTTTCTCTCTGATATTCCTACAGTTAAACTAGTAGGAGATCTATTTTTAAATCGGATCATCTATTTAAAAAAAACTGACAGTACATCACTGACAAGAACAGAAATCACTAGTGTGAAATCATTTGTTTCTACTAGAAGAGTGTTTCTTAACAAGGCAAGTGTGACTGAAATTTCACTCTAGACACAACCAAGCAGGAGACCATGTCTGCCTTGAGGTTTCCTCCCAAATGCGTTGCAACCAAACCTTTCTCCTGACAGGAGCCTTGACCATGCTGGGAATACTTTACAGGCACCACAGGGGAGAACAAACATACCAGCACCACCAGCCGGGATAATTGTAGTCTGGTTTCCAAAAGTCTGAAGAGCAACCTGCTTGACCATTCCTGAATGGGAGCGAGACACAACGATCCGTGGTGTCTTCTCATTGTAGGCAGTGCGGGCTTTCACATTTGACCCCCCTTCTACCATTGCCCAAGCTGAAAAGCAAACAAAATCCATTAATAGTACCTGAGTTTTTAAAACTACAACTCGAAAGTACCAAGAATGACTGAAAAATTTTTTTCTTCCACAGAGTTCCTTGTATTTTTATTCCAAAACAGAAGTTTTATTTGTTTGAGTAAAGAGATATATTATATTAAGACAAAGCTTAAAAAGTCCATTAAACCCTGCCCAGCCAGAGATTAATAACTACTAACCACTTGGTATAAGAAGTCTGAGGCTCCAGAGCTCCCTGTGGGCTGGTGGCTGAGTCTGCACTGGAGCTGCAGGGCGACTCACCTTCTCCCCGCACCTCATCCGACCTCCTTACCACCCTTCCTAGGCTGAATCCCAAAAGCACCCCCAGAAAACATTCGGCATGCTAATCTCTATCTCAAAGTCTGATTCCTGGAGAACCCAACCTGTGACAACCTATGACATAAGCACAACTAATTACCCTGAATAATTTAAAATTGTTGAAGAAGTAAGGTTTACACATCTGCTTTGTCAAACAGTATAAAAAGTTCTAGATTTCAAAATAAAACAGAAGTTTTTAAGAAGGTGGGGAGACCCCAGAGATGGCTTGAAATGTTTTTCTTGGTTTGGAAGTTTTCTTCATTGTCTATCCACTGTATAAGAAACCCAACTTGCTCAGAATGATCCCAATTAGATTGGTGGTTCTAGCAGTCACTCGCTGTGGGATAAAATATAGTCACCACGGCTAGCAGTGCAAGCAGCTGCACTACTGTATATTCCCGGCTGCAGAAAAAGAAAAATCAAAAAATTAATAGTGTCTGGGTTTCTGAGTTCCTTAAGGACAACGACAGTCTCCCAGACCCTTCTCACAATTCTTTCAGAAAACCCCACATAGCAGCAAGGAGGGAAATACACACGGCCTTAATCAATATCTACAGGTAGATGAGAGAAGACAGCTATCAACCAAAACTTCTGAGGAAGAAGGGGGTCAGCTGAGTAAGTGCTGCAGGGGCCCCAGTGTGGAGAATACAGCAGGAGCCTTGCTGAGGAGCCAAGAGGGCGGAGGATCTCAGTGGGGACAGGATGTCAGACAGGATTCCTTTGCAGGATTCCATCCAAAATCAGAACTGCTGAAAGCAGCCCCAAACCTTGGCAACAGAGCCTGGAGAAGACATGGAACCAAAAATGATGTCTTAATAATAACATACTAATAACATACTGGATGATGTACAATATATTTTAGGATGTCTCTTGAAAACAGAGACAATTTAGAAAGCCAGTAAATAGAACGAAAGATAAGAAAGGAGTTGAAAAAGATTGGATCGAACAAGAAAGAGGAAATGTGAAAACAAAAAAGACACCTGATAATAAAGATAATGCCCTCTTTATGCTAACAAAAGATGGCTCCTAAACAGAATCACCAGCCTCCAACCAATTCCACAGAAGCTGGTCCAAATATGAAGACGAAAACAAAAAGTAAAACCACAATGCCCACTGCAAAATATAAGAAGAAAACACAGAAAATAAATATTATTGGTGGGGGAAGGGTATAAGGAGACTAAATGGTAATGGAAAAAGATACAATGAAGATTTAAAAAGAAAGCAAATAAAGGTTAAAATGTTTCAGGCTACTTGAAAATTTCTACAAAGCTGAGGAAAACTACAACATTCCAACATGATTATAAAAATAAACAAGCAACAAAAATAAAAAAGAATGCTATGACACAAATAATAAACTCAAGAAAAAAATGAATAATACAAAGACATAAAATGGGGACTTATAACACAAGACAGAAAATAAAGACAAAATCAATGAAGACTTAGCACTCAATTATAGAATATATGAAGGACAACAGACTTGTCCAAAAGCAGAGCAAGCAATGAGACAAGCAAAAAGTAAAACAAGTAAACAGATAAAAGGAACCAGAGAGAAAGTGATGGATACAAAAGTCAGTGAAAGGAGTCAACAAACACATATTAGGAGTCCCTGAAAAAGGAAAACAAAATAATGAATAGAAGTAGTCATTAAAATTATGATTCAAAAAAATGTCCCTGAAATAAAAGACCTAAATATTCACACTGAGAGACATACTATGCAGACATCTGTTCAGATGCAAACTCTGAACCTAAAATATAGTATAGCTCTATTACTATAAAGTTCTTTGACATTCCAGGCAAAATAAATCAAGCCCCTTACAAAATCTGATTATCGGCCTTTTTACCAACAAGAATTAACGTGTGCCCACAATTATCACAGCAGTTGGACAGTTTCTATGTTAACCCCCCCAAAAAAGGGGGGGCATACAATGGGTGCGCTGAATAAATTTAACTGTGAATTTTACAGGAAACCAAAGATAGGAAAAAGGTGGGAAAATACAGATGTGGAAATGGTATGTCAAAGTTGAATGGCGAAAGTCAAAAGATACCACCTTAAATCTGAAGAGTTAAGTAACAGAGTAGACGGATAAACATAAAAAAAGACATGACTAATTAAAATGGAATGGTGTTCGATAAGGAGGCTAAAATAAGCTGACTCAATTTCTGCTCATAGGAGAAAACCAACAGATGCTACCTAAAGAAAAGGACCACATAACGGTATACAAGGTTTGTCCAGAAGGTATCCAGCCATGTACTGTGAAAAACAGACATTTATTGAAGATACAAGAAAAAACACTGTACACAGGACAATGACGTCTCAGTCCCCTCCAAAGTAGGCACCATGTGACCTCACACAGTTCTCCCAGCGTCTCTTCCACTGTTTATAACACTGCAAAATCCTTTGTTGGAATCACCATGAGCTGCCCCATTGTATTTTTCTGAATCTCACTGGTGGTCTGAAACCTCTTCCCTTTCAAAGGTGATTTTAGTTTTGGGAAAAGCCAGAAGTTGAAAGGCACCAAATCTGAGATGCTGTGGGGCTGAGTCACCTGGCTGATTTAAAATTTCGCCCCAAACTCTGCACAATATGTGATGCATAAGCTGGCGCATTGTCATGATGAAGCTGCCAATCACCAGTTGCCCATAGCTGCTGCCATTTTCATTGTATGGCATCTCTACACTCACTGCATTATCCCCCAAAGCCTTCTGAATCATCTGAAGTTTCTGCAGACGAATGTTCAAGCTTAATGCAAAATCTGATGCAGATCTGCTCTACGGCTCAGCCATTTTGAATGCGATGGCCACACAGTACACATGCTCAGTCAACAGTGTCTACTGCCACCACTGATTAGCACAGTGAAGTTATCATTATTTACATAAGTGCCTTTCAGTCCACTCTCCTTGGCTGACAGGTTGCATTGAAGTTGCACAAACTGTTCTTATATTAACAATGGCTGGACTTTTTTCAGACAGACCTTGTGTATTATTAAGGTGTTAGTAAAAGTGAAGAACAACAAAATTTTAACTTAAGACATAATAACTCTAGTCTTTGCACTGAATATATAAAAGTCTATGAGATCATAAAGATATATAAAAAAGGAGAAAGCCTGCTCTTTTCCCTGGGCTCAAAATAATATTTGTTCTCATTGGAGATAGTTTCTACCCTAACTCCTTAATTGAAAACTAGTACAGGAAGAGTGAAACATTTATCTTGTAAGAACAACATGTCAAGATAAACAAAATTACTTCTGCTGATGGAGAAATTTCCCTTATAGAAGAATTCTAGCTAGTATATTTAGGGGGAAAAAGGCAATTATAAAGTCCCATTTTACATCTTTAATGGATCATAAAACTACTATGTAAAAAGTTTAATAGAAATCTTGATTTTTCAATGATGCCAAAATCTCTCCCGATTACCCTGTTGGTAGCAAGAGAATTAAAGTAATTTTATAATAGAAATTTGATCATGGCCACCTTAACTATTTTTAGCATTATCGATGAGAGTGTATGTCATGTAATATTATGCAGTAGGAAGTACACAAAGAATATCTACAATGTATTCTTGACAAAAATGCTTAACCTTAATTCAATTAAGGCCCCAGCCCCAGAACTAATTTGCACTTTATAAGAAAAAGATGTAAAACTCAATTAAATGACACTCTGAGGAAATAGAACAATCCGAAAGGTAGGGCATTCTGTAACAATTGACCTGGTCTTCTCAGGGAATCATGTGATGGCGGAAGGGAGCTGGAGGTTGTTGCTCCAGATGGAGAATGTACTGCAGAGACCTAACAACCGAAGGAAATGCTTGACCGGATGTTGGTTTGAAGTCATCAGTTATAAAATTATCTTTTGAATGATGGAGAAAAATGTGAATATTGGATCAACTTAAGAATAATTTTAAATTTTATTATTGTTATATAAATAGCTCTGTTCTTGCACAGAAACATATTTTATTAGAGGTAATACTGAAGTATATCAGGGTAAAATGTCATGATCCCTGTAATTTTCTTTAAAGTACAAAGACCAAAAAAAAAAAAAGACAAAAAAGAAAAGTAAATATGTAAGCCCTGGCTGGATGGCTCAATCAGCTGGAGCATTGTCTGATACACTAAAAGGCTATGGGTGTGATTCTAGTCAGGGCACATTCTAAGGCTATGGGTTCAATCCCTGGTCAGGGCAAATACGGGAGGCAACTGATCAATGTTTCTCTTTCACATCAATGTTTCTTTCTCATGCTCTCTCCCCACTTCTCTCTAAAGAAACCAGCAAAACAATAACAAAATCCCATATCCTCGAGTGAAGATTAAAATAAAAAGCAAATATATAAAAATATTACCAATTGTTACATCTAGAAGGAGCACAGCAGTCCGCTCTTACTGCCCAGGACACATCCCAAGACCCTCACCGGAAGCTTGAAACTGCAGGCGGTAGAGAACCCCTTTTATACTAGGTTTTTTTCCTAGACGCACATAACTAAATTAAGTTTATAAGTTAGGAACAATAAGAGATTTACAATAGTAACTAACGATAAAACAGTACAATTAAAACAATATACAATAATAAAAGTTATGTGAAACTAATTCTCTCTGGCAACCAAGAAGGCTACTAAGTAACTAACAGGTGGGGAGTGTACACAGTGTGG